GGGGCCAGGAGGGAGGCAGGAAAGGTCCCGGCAGCGGAAGGCAGGGGCCAGGAGGGAGGCAGGAAAGGTCCCGGCAGCGGAAGGCAGGGGGCAGGAGGGAGGCAGGAAAGGTCCCGGCAGGGGAGGGCAGGGGGCAGGAGGGAGGCAGGAAAGGTCCCGGCAGGGGAAGGCAGGGGGCAGGAGGGAGACACGGAAGGTCCCGGCAGCGGAAGGCAGGGGGCAGGAGGGAGGCCGGGAAGGTCCCAGCAGGGGAGGGCAGGAGGGAGGCTGGGACGGTCCCGGCAGGAGAAGGCAGGAGGAATGCACGGATGGTGGGCATCTCTTTCGAGGATCCCGGAGGGCTGCCCTCTTGCTTGCATGGATTTCTCTCCCCCCGGGTGCCTGATGCGGGGGGAGGATGAGGATACATTACAGCAGGGACTCAGAGACCCAGTTTTTATGGCGGTGCTGGGGGTGGTAAAGGATGGTAGGAGGGTCTCAACCTCCCCACATTTCTGGGTACATTTACTGGGGTAACAGGACCTAGTGGGGGTGTCAACGGAAACCAAACGCGTACCTATGGCAGGGATCACACATGGGGGTTCACAACAGGACCCGATCTGGGTATTTCCGCATGGGGGAGGGAGGGCCCCAGTCTAGGTATTTCTGGGGGGTTCCCCCCTCAGAAGGTGAAGGGTGAAGATAACACAGGGTGAATAATATCCCCAAGGGTGTTTCTCTAAATAGGACCAGGCCTGGGTATTTGGGGTGGGGCGATGTGGGTCATGGGTGAGAGAATATCCCAGGGTGAGGAATACCATGGTGGGGGGCTTCTGAACAGGATTGGGTATTTTTTTGGGGGGGGTCAAAGATGCGTGTCCCACTGCAGAGGGAGTATCCTGGGGTCTCACTCAGGGGTATTCCTATGGGGAGGAGGGTCCTGGCCCTGGGAGAGGTGCATCTGGAAGGTATGGGGGGGGGTCCCCAAGACACCGGGTCTGTCTCACTCATATTTCCACGGGGGGTCCCAGTCCGTGGGTCATACGGGGCGGGGAGGTCTCTCACAGGGTATTTCCGGGGCGTCCCAGTCCATGGGCCGCATGGGGGCGGGATCAACATAAGAACGGCCCTATTGGGTCAGATCAAAGGTCCCTCTTCCGACAGCGGCCAATGCCAGGCGCCCCAGAGGGAGTGAACCTAACAGGTAACGATCCCATGATCGGTGTCCAAACAGCGGCTAGGGACACCATCCCTTACCCCGCCTGGCTAATAGCCATTAATGGGCTTAGCCGCCATGAATTTATCCAGTTCTCTCTTCAACCCTCTGCTAGTCTTGGCCTTCACAACCTCCTCAGGCGAGGAGTTCCCCAGGTGGACTGTGCGCTGGGCGAAGAAGAACTTCCTTGTATTTGCTTTCAACCTGCTGCCCGTTCATTGCATTGGGTGGCCCCCAGTTCTCGTGTTATGGGAACAAGCAAATAACTTTTCCTTCGTCCCTTTCTCCAAACCAGCCATGATCTTATGGATCTCTCTCATGTCCCCCTTTCCGCACGTGGGACCCGTCCCACCGCCCTCGGGGGTATTTCCGGGGGGTCCCAGGCCATGGGCCGCGGGGGGGGGGGCGGCAAGGGGCAGGGTCCGGTCCGGGGCGGGACCGGACAGGACCGGACCGGGGGGCTCCCGGGCTCTCACCGGGACGCGATCCGGGTATTTCTTG